AAGGGCTTATTTGACTTACACTTTCAGATCATAGTTCTTCATTGAAGGAAGTTGGGACAGAAACTCAAGCAGGACTGGAACCTGGAGGTAGGAGCTGATGTAGAGACCATGGAAGAGTGTTGCTTACTGGCTTGCTTCCCCTGGCTAGCTCAGCCTGGTTTCTTAAAGAACCCAGGACCATCAGGCCAGGAATGACTTCAATCACAATTGAATGAACCCTCTAACCATTGATCACTAATTGAGAAAATGCCTCATAGCTAGATCTCATGGAGACATTTCTGCAATTGAGGCTCCTTTTACCTGATGACTATAGTTTGTATCAAGTTGACACACAATACCAATTAGTACAGTACCTGACTTCTCAATGGAGACTCTAAAAGCCAGAAGGGCCTAGACAGATGTCCTACAAACTCTAAAAGACTAGAGATACCAGTCCTGACTACTATACCCAGAAAAACTTTCAGTCACTAAAGGTGGAGAAAGTAAGATATTCTAAGAATCATAAATATGACCTATCTACAAATCCAGGTGTTAGAAAGAAAACTCCAACCTCAGAAGGTTAAATACACCCATGGAAACATGGTGAATAAATAAACTCACACTAGCAACATTAAAAGAAGGCAAACATATACACATGTCACCACCAAAAACAAAATAACAGGAATCAACAATCATTGGTCATTGCTATCTCTCAATATCAATGGACTCAATTCCTCAACAAAAGACACAGACTAACAGAATGGATGGGAAAGCAGAATCCATCATTTTTCTGCCTACAAGAAACACACCTCAACATCAAAGACTGACATTACCTCAGAGAGAAGGAATGGAAAAAGGTATTCCAAGCAAATAGACTTAAGAAGCAAACTGGTATAACCACTTTAATATCTAACAAAATAGACTTCAAACCAAAACTAATTAAAAGAGATATGAATCACAATACATACTCATCAAAGAAAATCCACCAAGATTATATTTTAATTCTTAACTTCTCTGTTCCAAACACAAAGGTACCCAAATTTGTAAAAGAAACACAACTACAGCTTAAACCATGCATTGACTCTCACACATTGATAGTGGGAGATTTTAATAACCCTATTCTCACCACTAGGCAGTTCATCCAGACAAAAAACTAAACAGGGAAACGCTGAAGCTAACAGACAAACCAAATGTACCTAACAAATATTTACAGAACATTTCACCAAAACAAAAGAATATACATTCTTCTCTGTACCTCATGAAACTTTCTCCAAAATTGGCCACATACTCTGACACAAAACAATTCTATACAGATACAAAAAAAACAAAATAACTCCCTGCAACTTTTCAGAATACCATGGATAAAAGCTGAATTTCAAAAACAAGAGAAAGCCTACAAACTCATAGAAACTGAATGAAAAATGGGTCAAGACAAAAGTAAAGAAAGACTTCCTAGAATTTAATAAAAATGAATACATAACATACCAAAGCATATAGAACACAATGAAAACTGTGCTAAGATACAAGAGCATAGCACTAAGTGCCTACAGAAAGAAATAATTAAGCTGGGGGCTGAAATAAATAAAATAGAAGCAAGGAGAACAATACAAAGAATCAATGAAAAACGGAGTTGGTTCTTTGATAAAATTAACAAGATAGACAAACTCTTATCCAAACTAACTAAAATATATAGAGAGAATAGCCAAATTAACAAAATCAGAATTGAAAATAGGAATATAACAACAGACACTGAGGAAATATAGAGAATCATAAGGATACACTTTCAAAATCTGTACTCCACCAAATGGTAAAATCTTAAAGAAATAAATAATTGTCTAGAGAGTACCACTTACCAAAGTTAAATTACGACCAGACAAGCGATTTAAATAGGCCTATAACCCCTAAGGAAATAGAAATAGTCAGTAAAAGTCTCCTAACCAAAAAGAAACCTGGGGCCAGATGACTTTAGCACAGAATTCTACCAAACTTGAAAAGAATTAATGTCAATACTTTTCAAATTATTCCATAAAATAGAAATGGAAGGAAAACTACCTGTTTCAGAATATTTGGTCACACTGTGAACCCTGAGATTGCATTATTTATTGGAAAAATGGATTTCTAATTATGGTGTAGCTCAGCCCCAGCACACACCTTTAATCCAAGAGTTTTTGGGTTGAATATTGCAAACAGCATTAAATAAAGTCAACCATAGGTCAAGACTTGCAACCAATTGACAGGAAGAAACCAGAGAGTAAGAGGCAGTCAGGAGGACAGATAAAGAGATACACAGGAAGAAAAAGGGAAGGACATTGAATGCATTGGCACAGGAGAAGAGTTTCTGAACAGAATACCAGAAGTTTAACACTAAGATCAACAATTAATAAATGGGGCCTCATGAAACTAAAAAGCTTTTGTAAGGCAAAGGACACCATCCTTCAGACAAAACAGCAGCCTTTGAATGGAAAAAGATTTTTACCAACTCCATATCTGAAAGAGGATTAATATCTAAAATATATAAAGAACTCAAGAAACTAGATATCAAAAACTAAATAATCTAATTTTTAAATTAGGTACAGAAATTAAACAGAGAATACTTTTAAAAAAAGAACCTCAAGTGGTGGAGAAACACTTAAAGAAGTATTCAACATCTTTAGCCATCAGGGAAATTAAATTCAAAACTGCTTTGGGGGTTCCATCTTATACTTGTCAGAATGGCTCATATCAATAACCCAAGTGACAGTTCATGCTGGCACTGATTTATAGCAAAGGAGAACCTTCTTCCATTGCTGGTAGGAGTACAAACTTGTACAGCCACTATGGAAATCAATATGATGATTTCTCAAAAAACTGGGAATCAATCTATTTCAAGATTCAACTATACCACTTTAGGGCATATACCTACCACAAGGACACTTGATCAACCATGTGCACTGCTACTTTTTTAATAATATCTTGAAAATATAAATAATCTATATGTTCCTCAACAGAAGAACAGATACAAAAAATGTGATACATTTACACAATGGAGTATTACATGTTTAAAAAATTACATCATGAAATTTGCAAGCAAATGGATGGAACTAGAAAAGAAAATCACCCTGAGTGAGGTAACACAGACCCAGAGAAGTAAGTATGGTATGTATTCACTTATATGTGGATATTGGTCATTAAATAAGTGATAGCCAATATACATCCATAGACCCAGAAAGCTTAAGTATAGAGAAAGCGACTGGGGGACACATACTCCCTGTGAGGGGGAAAAAGAAAAGATTTTATGGATGGACTGGAGGTGGGTGGGTATGGGAACTGGAAGATCAAGTGAGTAGGGTGAAGGGAGATAGGGTTTAGGGGAAAATGTGAGGAGAGACATCTGGAATTGACAGGCATTTGAGGGATGGTGTGGAAACCTAGTACAGTGGACACTTCCAAAAATATATGAAGGCATTCCTAAAGAGGTCTCATAATAATGGAAAAGACAGAGTCCCAACTGCCCATCTCTTGACACCAAATGAGACTTCTAACAGTGGGACTGGGTTACAATTAAGTTGTTGGCCAAGAGGGTGTCATGGAAATCCCTAAACAACCCAGACTATTGCTAAGATAATGGATTGCTCTCCACAAATGGCAGGTCCACATTGCCAAGGACAACATACACACAATTCATTGAACATTGAGAAGTCCAACCGTTGCCTGAATGGAGCCTTCACCCCATATCTTAGTGTCTTTGATGCAGGAAGGTGCTTTGCATGCTACCAAAAGAAAAGCATAAACACCAAACCAGTCACAAAACCTTTGACTTAAAATCTGTCCTGCCTGTAAAATATGCTAGGGCAGTGGTACACGGAACTTGTGGAGGTAGCTAAGCAACGTCTGATTGGACTTAAGGCACACTTCCCAAGATAGAACTCATACTGGACACTGCTTGGGTGACCAAGAACCAGAGACTAGAAATCTTAGAGACCTAATGTAAAATCAAACATTACTGATCTACAGCAAATAATCAATAAAATGACTCCTAATGATATTCTGCTATACGCACACAATAAGAGACTTATTCAATCATCACCAAAAAAACTTCCTTCCGCAGCAGATAGGAACAAATAGAGGGACCCACAGCCAGACAATATGCAAAGGAAGTTTCCTTGGAACACACAGCTATAAATGGGGTGTCTCCACAAAATGTGTCCACTCATAGCTCAGGGAAGCCCTGGGAAGAACAGGCATAAGTGCCAGAAAGGATGGAGGACACCAGAACAAGGCCCTCTGAATCAAGTAAACACAACTCATATGAACTCACTGAAACAACAAGCACAGTACCTATATGGGTCTACACTAGGTCTGTGGTATATATATTATAGCTTCTGACTTACTGTTTTTATGGAACTCCTGAGTGTATAAATGCATGAGTCTCTGATTTTTGTGACCTTTTTTGGGGCTCTTTTCCTTCTGTTGGATTATCTTGTCCAGTCTCGATGTGATGTTTTGTTTTATCTTATATTTTATTTTGTCAGATTTGGGTGTTATCACTAGAAGAATGTTCTTTTCTAATGAGAAACAGAAATGGAGTGGAGGTAAGGTAAGAAGAAACTGGGAGGAGTAGAGGCAGAGAATAAAATTGTATTCAGGATATATTGTATGAAAAAGAATCTATTTTTAGTAAGAGGGAACAAACATAATGCTTTTATTCTCCTCACTAAAATGTATTAACTAAAAGTGTTTACACAGATAAATGAATAAGTACTATTTATTTACTTTAAAAATGGATGGTAAACACATATTTTTAAGTCCAATTATGTGTGATAATATATCGCAAGCCAAGATTATCAAATGATATTCTCAAACAGATTCAGGAGGATTCTATAGCTAGAGTCATACATGTTCAACTTTCCCTTGCATTATCTGGGAAAATACTAATTTATACTGCTACTCAGTTTTCCTACATATTTTCAGTTGTCCAATTTTCTCAAAAATATACTTTCTTAAAATTGAGAAATGTAGCTGTTTCTAAACTTTTTTACAGTCTGGTTATTTATGCCTCAGAAGAGTTCTTCAGATTTCTTTAAGTCAGAGCCATCTTCTCATCTTCCTACACAACGCACTCCTCACTTCCTTGTTTCTCAAGGTGTAGATGAGTGGATTGAGAGCAGGAGTGACCACACTGTACATGATGGCAATGATCCGGTCCTGATCCAGAGAGCTGCCTGAGCTGGGACGAATGTAAATAAAAAGAACAGGAGCATAGAACAGAATGACAACCATGAAGTGAGAGGCACAAGTGGACAGTGCTTTGTGGAGCATGCTGCAAGAACGGGTCTTGAGGAAAAGATACGTAATAATGTAGAAATAGGAGAGAAATGTCAGAAAAAATGGACTGAGAGCAATGGTCCCTGTGATGGTATTGAGCAGCCAAATGTTGAGTTTAGTGTCTCCACAGGCCAGATCCAGCAATGGCTTAACATCACAGAAGAAATGATGAATCTGATTCGAACCACAGAACCTCAAACGAGATGTCATTACAGAGTGAAGCAAGGCATGTAAAAAGCCAGTGGTCCAGATAGTAACAGTCATCTGAATACAGAGCTGGCGATTCATGATGACAGAGTAATGAAGTGGTTTGCAGATAGCCACAAAGCGGTCAAATGCCATCACTGGTAGCAGCAGGGCCTCTGTGCTACCCAGGAAGTGGAAGAAATGCAGCTGAGTTATGCACCCCAGAAAGGAAATTGCTTTGCTTGTGGAAAGGAAATTCTCCAGCATCTTCGGCACTGTCACAGTGGAGAAGCAGATATCTAGACATGCTAGGTTTCCCAGGAAGAAGTACATAGGTGAGTGGAGTCTTGGATCTGAAATGACGATCATCAGGATGGCTCCATTCCCAGTTATATTGACAAAGTAGATGGTGAAGAAAATAGCAAAGAGAATTGTGTTCAGTTCTTGTATATCTGTCACTCCCAGGAGGAGAAATTCGGTAATTGAGGTTTGGTTTGACATCACTTAAAAGAAAAGAGTTATTGTACAACATTAACCTTCATGATGACCACTCATTCTGACCATAGATTTTCTTTTCAAAACCAAAGTATTTTGAGAGTGTGAGACATTGTTTTCCATAGCATCCCCTCAAATTTTCCTACTATCTGCCCATTTTATGTTAGATAACAATTCTAAGAGTCTGTTGTGGATTATGATAAAAAAAATTTTAGTTTACTACACTATCATGAATCATTTCTTTTTTTCTTTAGTGATTTTGAGTAATCACAAGCCTACCACATTTTTTAGTTGTGAGTATTTACATTTTGACCCAATCTTCTCATTTCTTAAGTTGGATCTAACAGGGGACAACTTTTAAATGTTCCACCAGGCAGACATCTCCTGGCAAGGGAAAAGTCTTGAAAGATTTCAGCTTGAGAGAATAGGAGTAGATAGACTCCTCTCAACCACTGGCTCTTTAAAACCAAAGATAGCATATGATTGATGACATGAAATTAAAATATTCTGCACAGCAAAGAGGCTATCAAGAGAGCATACAAAATGGGAGAAAATATTCTCCAGCTATACTTCAGGCAAAGAGTAAATATCTAGAATATGTCAAGAATTGTCAAAGTTAACCACAAAAAAATCTACCAATCAATAAATGGACCAATTAGCTAAACAGATATTTCTCAGAAGAAAAGATACAAGTGGTCAATAAATATTTTTAAAGTGTTCAGCTTCATTAGGTATCAAGAAAATGGAAATTAAACTACTTCAAGGTTTATCTCACCCTCGACAAAATAGACATCATTAAAAAAGCAGATGGCAACAGATGCTGGTGAAAATGTTGGTGGGGATGCAAACTGATGCAGCCACTGTGGGGATCAGTCTGATTATTTCTACAAAAACTAAAAGAAGAATCACCATGTGACCAGCTATTCTGATCCTGGGATATACCCAAAGGACTCTACACCCTCCTACAGAGACACTTGCACATCCATGCCTGTGTGCTGTATTCACAATAGTCAGGAAAAGGAATCAGCTTGGATGTTCATCAAGTAACAACACATCATGAAAATTTGGTACATAAAGACAATAGAATTTTATCCATCTGTAAAGTAAAATGAAATTATGAACTTGCATAAATTATGAACTTCCATAAATATATGGAACTAAAAGTATGATATTAAGCAAGACAACCCAGGCACAGATAAATACTATTCTCTTTCTCTCTCTCTCTCTCTCTCTCTCTCTCTCTCTCTCTCTCTCTCTTTCTCTCTCAATTTGGTTTCTCAAGACAGGATTTCTCTGTGTAGCCCTGACGGTTCCTGGTATTCTACTCACTATATAGACCAGGCTGGCCTTGAACATTGAGATTCACCTGCCTCTGCCTCCCAAGTGCTGGGATTAAAGGCATGTGCCACCAAGACCCGGCTCCATGTCTTAATTTCAGTCCTAGTCTCTCATTGTTAATTATGTGGATCCAAGTGGTTGTGAACATGGGTAAAAAACAGAAAACCAGAAAGGAAATCACATGACTGGGAGAAAGAAGGGTTTTAAAAAGGGGGTAGAGGATATGGAAGACAATTGAACAATGTGGAAGGGAAATACTGTGGACCAATAGGTATGGCAGGAAGAAGAAGGGAAGGGGAGAAGACAGGAGGTGTGGAGGTGCGCAGAATCAACCAAAATATGTCTGAAAATCTTATGTGGGAATTACCTTGTAAGCTAATTTAGCAACAAAATTAAAGTATTTTTTTAATGTATGATAATAATTAAAATGGAAAGCTAGGTTTTTAATATAATAGTGACAATATTTTTTCTACTTAAAATTTAGAAAAGGTAGAAATGTCCTTGTATAGACTTGTTCTTATACACAACCTAGGAAACGTCTTGGAGCCAGAAGGTCTTGTTAGCTACAGAGTCCAACGGTATTTATGCTTATTTTTCACTACTATATTTGATGTTGAGCTTCATGTTTCCTAAAATCTGGACCATTAAATATTTCCAAAATAGATTCCTAATTGCATGTGAGTGCATGTGGAGGTAATCGATTGATATCAAACATCTTCTTCAATCTTATGTTTTGGGACAGCATGTCCTTCTGAATCTAGAGCTCACCCTTTAAATTAGGCTGGCTTGACAGAGAGTTCCATAAATTCTCCTGCCTTTACTTCCCCAGAGCTGAGTTTACAAACACACATCACGACATCCAACTTTTTAACTGAGTGTTAGGGATCTGAATTTGGGTCTTCATGCTTGAATAGCAAGCACATAACAGATGGAGCCATTTCCCTAGACCCCTTTTTTATTTGTTTTCCATTTGTTTGATAACTGGGACAGGATCTCAATATTGACCTCTAACTTGCTTCAATTCTTCTGTTGCAGCCTCCAAGGACCGGGATTATAGTCCTGTGTTGCTATAACCAACCAAAGATACTTCTTGTTGTATAAATTATGCTTTATTGTTCTTCTCTTCACCTAGATGCCATAAGTTTTACTTTTTGGATTTGTTTTTTCTCAGAACTCCAGGATCAGAGCAGTTTTTCCTTTGTCTGACCAGTAGTCCCTCCCCCATTTCCCTAGAAGAGACTGCTAAATGCCCTTCAGTACCCTGGAAATCCTGTCTTCTCTTGTGATCTTAATTATTGGACTTTTCCCCACTTACCTTAAAATAAGCTCACTCCTCCGATATTACAGAGATTTTCCCCTCTTCTCTTCTAGCTCCATCAGTGTGACAATGGTCGCCGCTGTCTTCTGTGATCCCAGAAGTCTGTATGCCTCATCTCAGATTTCTCCCCACACACTGGAGCTGTACAGCTCTTCTCTCACCAGAAACATGTTATATTTATTTGTCTTCCTTACTTCAATTATAATCCTTCAATTATTTTCTTTCCAAGTCCTATTTTCTAGAAGGAATGTGTCCTTTTCAATCGCGTAATTAAAATAATAGTGCTTCTTTCAGTGAAAGTAAAATTCTTAAGTAATTATGAATAAATTAATTGTAAAAAGTTTAACATTGCCTACACTTTCAAAGTATACTAAAAGGCTTTTTGAGTTGTTGCTTTCTCCATTCTTAGCAAAGTACATGAATTTTCTAGGAAACACTGGTCAGAGTAGACATAGCTATAAGAAGTAGCTTCCTCTGTTTCCTTTTATTTAAAGATGTGCTAGGTTCACTTTGTGCACAGAAGAGAAGAATGAGAATCAGTGTGAGGAAGGCCCATGCTGCTAGGAGGCACTGAGAGAATCCCCAGGCTGCACTGGAGCTGGAAAGAGGCTGACGCTGGAGTGAGCCCTACAAGAGGGGAATTATTCAAGCTGTGAGAAATCATTAGAGGACGAAAATAATTTGTACAACTAAAGAAACAAAACTAATGAACTGGAGGAAAAATTTAAGGATCCTGTGGGATTCTAAGCTTTATAGCTGGAAGACAGTCTGAGAAATGGTGCAATTGCTAGTGTACTTCTGTGAGAGATTGCTTTCAAACAATCAGGGAGGCCTGTTTGATAGTGATATATATTCTGTGTGTTTATAAACACAACAGACTTTCCTATTTAAAATCTAGCCCCATGGCAAAATTAAATTATAATTCTCTGAACCAGAAATCAAAATGGTAGCCAAACATTTATGAGGAAAATATTTACCTATCTATTAAGGAAAATTATCGATCTAACTTCTCTGTACAATCAGAACCGACTTGTTCACTACATTTTCAATATTTGGAGCTTTCAGATTTGTATTCATTTAGAGAACCAAGTACAATGAAATTAGACAAGACACAGAAATGAAATACAGAAGCCGAAGAACCTTTATAATCCTCACACACAGTGAGGAGTCTGTCAGAAAAAAGAAAACCAGCCTTAATCATGCCTATTGGTATTTAATGTTGCCAACTGGCAGACCACCCCTGAATAACAGGAAACTCTAGTCCTAATGTCTTAATTCATTCTCTTACCTGACTGACCGCCAAAAACAAAACAAAATAAATGAACAAACAGAAAACAGTTTTCAGATGCATGTCCAGAAATTGCACAGGTTGTGAAGTATTTGAAGTGACAGTTCAAGAGACTTGTAAGCCTCTGTCTTACAGTGTTTGTCTATAAATCTATAAAGACCTCTCTGGATTTCTGAAATCCTGCCAGCATTCTAACGAGATGAAGATGGAGACATAAAAATCCTGCGGGAGCATGTCCCTTGTGCTGAGCAGGATCGATGTGAAAATAAACAGGGTGCTTTTACCACCTTCAATAGGGAGAAAGTCCCTGGACAATTCTTCTACGCTCCTTCTGTTGTCTTTCTTCCAGTTTTCTTTCCCTTTGTTGTTCCTTAGTCTCAGGTACATGAACAGCACAGGTCTTGGTGTATGCCCAGCAAAACTTTCAATCACCATAGAAGGACAAAACAAAATATTTCATGACAGAACCGGATTGAACTAACACCTAGCCACAAACCCAGCCATACTCAATATACTAGAAGGAAAACTCTAACCCAAGGAAGTTAGCCACATCCACAAAAACACAGACAGTAGGTGATCTCACAGCAACAAATCCCAAAGAAAGGGGAAATGCACAAAATAACATCACCAACAATGAAGACTAAAATAATAATCACTGCTCATTAATATTCCTTAATATTAATGGACTCAACTCACCTATAAAAAGACACAGGCTAACATTTTGGATACAAATACAGAATCCATCCTTCTGCTGCATATAAGAAACACACATCAACCTCAAAGACAGGCATTGCCTCATAGTAAAAGGTTGAGGGAAAAAAATCCAATCAAATGTGTTGTGGGAGTATCTTCCGCTGCCTCAGCCAATAGTCGCTGAAGCACAAGCCCACAGTGCAGCGGGGAGCGACTTCCGCTCCGTCAGCCAATAGCCGCTGAAATACCAGCCCACTGGGGCGTGGTATATTTCTCTTTTAAAAAGAGACACAGATCCGGATCAGGCTCTCTTGGTTCCGGCGCTTGGTCCCGGCTCCTGCTCCAGCGACTAGGCTCCCTTCCTGACGGTTTATGGTGTATGTAAGTTTTACCCCCCAAAATAAATAACCCCTTAAAACATAACTGGTGTG